AAAAAAATCAAAATTATATTATTGTATAACGCATTGATAGTTTTAAAATGAAAAAAAAAATAAAATAAAATTACATGAATTTTATATAGAAAAACTTGATAAAAAATATATTGAAAATTAGGTATTGTACAAAGATATAATATGCATAATTAAAAATATAAAGCAAATTAAAAACTTGACTTTTTTATAAAGATACATTCAACCATTTATTCAGTAGATAGATACAATTTGATAATATTTTGTTTTTTTATTCAATGATATCTGAGATTCTCGAATTAGACTATCTTATAATATATTTCTGCATACGAATAATTTGTTGCCAAGAGCATCAAGTTCTTCATGTGAGTTGGCACACATAAACGAAATGTTGATTGTTTATTTTGACAACCTCTAGACCGAAAGCACGTCTTGTTAAGAAATTTTATAATATTTAAATAATAATTAATTTTTATTTTTATTTTTTTCATAAAATGGTTTTTTTTTTTACTATTTTTTATAAGTTCGGATATATATATATATATATATATATTATTAAAGGACTATATCAACTAAAAACTTAAGTTGATAGATGAATTTAAAATTTGTATAGATCCACATTACTTTATACGTGAGATTTAAACTCATGCTCATATAGTCAACTAAGCTCCGATATAATATTAAATGATCATTTAACTTAAAAGTAGATGAAACTTCAAAATATAATTTATATTACTTTTTAACTTATCTCTCTTTTCAAAAAAAATAAATTTATTGAATAGCTACTACACATTAGTAATTATTATTTTAATAATTATAAAATTTATCTGTCTTGCTGGAAAACATTGCTTGTAAATTTCAATATACATCCCTTGACGTTACACAAATTCGTGAAAGAACCCAATTATAGCAACATTGAACTAAAATGTCAGTTGCAAGAATTGGTATAGTCTGCTTTCCCCTCATTACAGAGGTCATACTTTGGATATGGCTCTGTGCATACCTTTTGGGTTTTTGTTCTTTGACCTAATGGGGTTGGCTCCTGGATCCCTACAAGCACATCTGGTCAATGAAAAAAACCATAAATTCAATTGGTTAAGCACACGAAAGATGAGGCCATGAGGAATGTGTTTTGTGGTCAGGTTAAATCACAACAGGGAGATTATCTGGAATATTAATGGAATGAACTCCAAAGTACATTGAAGTGGAGTTTATTAGACATGTAGAGCTTGACCCATTAGGCACCATGCACGGTAATTGTAGCCCTTAAGCACTTAAAAGCTTTATGGAGAAGAGATTCTCTTCTTTTATGATCACTAGATATGCAGAGCCCAATCATCGAAATAGTTTTCCCGATATCTTTATTCTCCAAATCATCCACTTACGTAGATTCTTCTAACTCTAGAATTCCTGCTAATCCTTTCATTAGGAGAATGTGAATAAATTCTCCAAGCAAGTGCGTTTTCATTTGGGAATAAATGCTTGTCTTCGCTGCACAACTTGTGCGGTTCTCAAATTATCGTAGTAATCTACTCAAGAAGTTCGAAGAATTTCATGTCCGCTTTAGATGCTTTTAATTCAAGCATAAAGCTGCTCCAAAAAGTCACTTTGCTAAAGAACCAAAGTATATAGGAATACATTAACATTTACCGAAGTCCACTGTTGGACTCCCTAATCGTTTTCCAAAGAACCCTTTTCCAAAGGTTTCAGTATTTTTTTTTTTAAGCAGCGTATTTCTAGTTAATTTTCATACATTGATTTTGATCAATTCTTCTACAAATATTTATATGCAGAAATTATATTTTCATAAATTCAAATTAAATTTCAATTTCAAATACAATTAATAAACAATTCGTAACTAATATCTGAAACACAAAAAATATAAAATATGAAATTCAAATTCTCTACAAAACTCATCAGATTAGATCTTGTCATAGTCATTTGATATTGTTTTTTTTTTTTTTTTTTTTTATGCTATAACTACTTGATCCAACGCTCTACAGTTATGCTCTAGGCCCTATATTTTTTACTGTACAAAAATATTTTTTTCTTTATTAAAGAGATCTTCAATTACACAATTTTAAAGAGTCACTTTTCTCTTTAATATGTTCATAGAATGTTAAGATATTGATTTAATTATCAGGAACACTTCCACAATTAATAACAATATTTGTCTTCTATATTCCTAAAATTTAAGAAGACACTGTTATTATTTTTTTCAATCTTTTTAATAAAACCGAATACAAAATACAATCAACTTAAAAGTCAAAATCTTGTGCATAAAAAAAATGTTAATATTAAATGTACATCAAAATAAATGTAATTAAGAAAAATTGATTTTTCATGACCTTTAATTTACCCAAATCCGAGATGATAACTGTGAACAAGAACAAATAGATTTGTCAATTGCTGCAGTGGATAATGAAATTTGTTGAGAAAGTAGACAAAATCAAAGGTCAGTACAAGTCATTAAAACCAAGGGCCCACAACTGAACGGTCAAGGTTGGTGTTAAGGCGAGAAAAGAACAAAAAGAGTAGACTTTTAGCTCACATCCAAATGGAGTCAGAGGGGAAAGTGTCTGTTTTGGAAAATCGCAGACAGCCTTTGCAATGGGCCCAGCAAAATTCACCAAAGCCCATCGATTGTTCATCATCAGTCCTTCCGGAAAAGACACAATCTACATTGAAACTTGTTAGAAAAGAGTAAATTATAAATTAGTCCCACTTGTTTCCAGAGGCGAATTAATTTCTTTTAAAAACTAATTATTTAATATTTCGTTTTTAATTTTATTAATAATTTATTTTTTTATCAGTTTTCAGTTAAATTAGTATTTTAAAAAATTATTTTTTATGTTTTATTTATTTCATTTGCATACTTTTTTCTCTCTCCTCAAATAAAAATAAAAAAGAATAATTTTGAAATAAAAATTACTAATCTATTATAAATATGATGAAAAAAATTAAGTTATGAACATGATTTAAAAGTAGAAAACTAAATGATTATTTAAAAAAAAATTAATTAACATTTTTCTAAACAAGAGGGACTAATTTATAATTTACCCCTTAAGAAAACGAGAAACCCGGAAGCCAGGACAAACAAAAAGTTTAAAACGAGATTGCTCTTTAACTGACGAAGATATGAATCAAACGACGTTCGTTAGACACTAACGTTAGGATTTAGAAGCAGTAAATAGTTACTTGGACTAACAGTTCTTTTCCTCCCTCGAAGGGGAGGGAACTAAAGCACTGCTGAAATTAACACGTCATTCACACAACTGGGAGGACACGGTACCATTATCATGCGCCTGTTTTTCAAACAGCCATTTTACGCCGTCAACCACAACTCTATTACTCCGTTAACTTTACCTAACTCTGGCTAAAAGCATCTCCAATGATTTTTTTACTTTTAACTAATAATTTTAATATAAATAAAAAACATCCTTAATTATATAGATTGAATATCAATATTTTCTTCAATATTACTCTCTACTTTAATTCTTTATTTTAACAAAATCCATAAAACTCAAAAAAACTATTGATAAAGAGGTCGAGTGATATAGGAAATAATAATTTTTATTAATGAAATATAAAATAAAGAGTCATTTGGATTCTCTAGTATTTAAGAGACAAAGACACTATGTATCTTAATTTTAAAAATAGAGATTGTGATAAAGAGAGCATTAGAGATGAAATTTAGACCAAACTTCTTTATTGTAAAAAAGAATCTTAATATACGGATAGCATTGGAGATACTGTAAGCATATATATATATACAAAGAAAACTAGATTCAGCATTTGATATATAATATCCGTGTTTAATAATTTATTGTAAGTGTTTTTTATTTTAAAAATGTGCTTAGATTAAATAGATTTTTTTTTCTTGAACAAGCTATCATTGTACTTACTTGCTCATTTGTTTAGCATTGGATTTCATTTATATATCACAATAATTTTACTTGATGTGTTCATTCTCAAAATCGTTAAACAAAAAGTTTATTTTTCTTATGTTTTATATATTTTTGAATTTTCAAAATAATTTTGATATCTTTTTATACCAAAATTATCTAAAAAATTAATGTTAATTTTTATTATTCAAAGGTATTTTAAAAAGCAATTTCAATGTTATTTCAAATGCATTATAAAATTTTAAAGTTTTTTTAAAAAAATCTCATGAATTTTCTAATTTGGTGTGAATAAACTCTTTAGTTAGTTTTGGTGTACGGAAACTGATTCCAGGATCCTATCTAGCTGTAATTAAAAGGAAAAAAAACTGATATCAAAGTAAATTATATTTAGAATAAGATAAATTATGATACCGATTTTTCTAACTAAAATTAGCTAAGACATGAAAACCAAACATTTTTTTTTTGGTTCACTCAAAAATAATAATTATATTTTATAGGCTAATTTACGTCTCGTCTGTTTTAACATAATCTTGCTTCCTTAAGGTACATTTACTTGCTAAATTTTTGTAAAATTGAATTTATTTCTCAATCCTTTTCTAGATTTCTAATTCAGTCCATGGAAGACTATATCTCTCTCAACGTGCAACTCCGTTAATAAACTGTCGTCCAATTCTTGACCATGTAGAAAAATCCACCAATGGAAGCTAAATCTATAACGTACGAAGTGGGACCCCCACAAGCCATGCCTTTAATAGCAGGTTTGGTGGGGTCCAAGACACACAAAACCTCATGCAACCTACAGTCCTCTCTTTGTAAATGGTGACCCCAACTTTCTTCGATTTGTTTATTGATTCAAGTTTACTGCCACTGCCACTCATCGATTGTTTTTCAAAGACCCTGCAACCAAACTCTACTTATTATAGCCTGCCATACCTCTACCTTGATTGAACAGAACCAAAAATACCAAATACACTAGACCTCTACCTGACCTTCTCTCCTGTTCTATTCTCCACTGAAGAAAAGAAAAGAAAAAAAAAATAGGGAGAAAAAATTCAGAAAAATGAGAAGTTTTCTGGGTTTCCGTCTTCTTTTACTTGTGCTACTGTTTAATGCTTGCAGTGGATACAGTGATCTTGAAGTCCTCTTGAAGCTGAAAACTTCAATGTATGGCCATAATGGCACTGGCCTTGAAGATTGGGTGGCTTCTCCTGCATCTCCTTCAGCTCATTGTTTCTTTTCTGGAGTCACGTGTGATGAGGACTCACGTGTGGTGTCGCTAAACGTGTCGTTTAGAAATCTTTCTGGTTCAATTCCTCCAGAGATTGGGCTGTTGAACAAGCTGGTGAATCTAACCTTGGCAAGCAATAATCTCTCGGGGGAGTTTCCTGTTGAGATAGCTATGCTTACATCTCTCAGGATTTTGAATATTTCCAACAATGCTATTGATGGGAATTTCCCTGGAAAAATCACACTTGGCATGACACAGCTTGAGGTTCTTGATATCTACAACAATAATTTTTTGGGTTTATTGCCAACTGAAATTGTAAACCTGAAAAATCTCAAGCATGTTCATCTTGGAGGGAATTTCTTCTCTGGCATAATACCGGAGGAGTACTCGGAGATTTTGAGCTTGGAGTACTTGGGCTTGAATGGTAATGAGCTTACAGGCAAAATACCTTCAAGCTTGTCGAAGTTGAAGAATCTCAAGAGGTTGTGCATTGGGTACTTTAACAAATATGAGGGAGGTATTCCACCTGAATTTGGGTCATTGAGTAATCTTGAATACCTTGACGTTGCTTCTTGTCAACTTAAGGGTGAGATTCCTTCCACTTTAGGCCAATTAACCCACCTGGATTCGTTGTTTCTTCAATTCAATAATCTCACTGGCCATATCCCTTCTGAATTATCTGGTCTATTTAGCTTGAAATCACTCGATCTTTCAATCAACAACCTCACCGGGGAGATACCAGAGAGTTTCTCTGCCTTGAAAAACATAACACTAATCAATCTCTTTCAAAACAAGCTGCACGGTCCAATCCCAGAATTTGTTGCTGATTTTCCAAACCTTGAGGTGCTTCAGGTTTGGGGAAACAACTTCACGTTTGAGCTTCCTAAAAATCTTGGCCGAAATGGGAAGCTGAAGTTGCTGGATGTATCTTATAATCACTTGACAGGATTGGTTCCGCGGAGTTTATGCAATGGTGGGAGATTGGAGACGTTGATTCTCATGAACAATTTCTTCATTGGATCGCTTCCTAAAGAAATTGGCCAGTGCAAGTCCTTGCACAAAATCCGAATCATGGATAATATGTTTACCGGAACTCTACCTGCTGGGATCTTCAATTTGCCGTTGTTGAACCTTGTTGAGTTGAGCAATAACTTTTTCTCTGGCGAGCTTCCACCACAGATTTCAGGAGCTGCACTGGGCTTTTTTTCAGCTTCTAACAATCGGATTACAGGTAAAATCCCGCCGGCCATTGGGTATCTGAAGAATTTGCAGCTTCTATCATTGGAAATGAACAGACTTTCTGGTGAAATTCCTGATGAAATCTTCGGACTGAAGTCCCTCACCAAGATCAGCATCCGTGCTAACAACATTAGTGGTGAAATCCCAGCTTCGATGTTCCACTGCACTTCACTTACATCCGTTGATTTCAGCCAAAACAGCCTCTGTGGGGGGATTCCTAAGGAAATTGCTAAACTGAAGGATTTGAGCTTTCTTGATCTCTCTCGAAATCAACTTACTGGTCAACTACCAGGTGAAATCCGATACATGATAAGCCTGACATCCCTCAATCTCTCCTACAACAATTTATTTGGCAGGATCCCTTCTGTCGGTCAATTCCTGGCGTTCAATGACAGCTCATTTCTTGGAAATCCAAATCTCTGTGCAGCAAAAAACGATACTTGCTCCTTTGGTGGTCATGGCCATAGGGGGTCCTTTAGCACTTCAAAGATAATAATCATTGTCATTGCACTTGTTACTGTGTTGCTGCTAATAGTAGTGACAGTTTACAGATTGAGGAAGAAGAGGCTGCAGAAATCACGGGCCTGGAAGCTCACTGCATTCCAAAGGCTCGATTTCAAGGCAGAGGATGTGCTTGAGTGCTTGAGAGAAGAAAACATTATAGGCAAAGGTGGTGCTGGGATTGTCTACCGCGGGTCAATGCCAGAGGGTATCGATCATGTTGCAATCAAGCGACTTGTTGGTCGAGGCAGCGGAAGAAGTGATCATGGCTTCTCGGCTGAGATTAAAACTCTTGGAAGAATCAGGCACCGGAATATTGTAAGGCTGTTGGGTTACGTATCGAACAAGGACACCAACTTGCTGTTGTATGAGTACATGCCTAATGGGAGCTTAGGGGAGCTTTTGCATGGTTCAAAGGGAGGCCATTTGCAGTGGGAAACAAGGTACAGAATTGCTGTGGAGGCTGCCAAGGGACTCTGTTATCTTCACCATGATTGCGCTCCTTTGATTATTCACAGGGATGTCAAGTCCAATAACATATTGCTTGATTCGGATTTTGAGGCTCATGTTGCTGATTTTGGACTGGCCAAGTTCTTACAAGATCCAGGTGCATCAGAATGCATGTCCTCCATTGCTGGCTCCTATGGTTACATTGCTCCAGGTCCGTGATTTTCCTAATTAAATTACCACTTCTCTTCCTTTATTAGCTAATTGCATTACAGATTGTGTCAACAACGTGTGTGTGTTAACTTGTCATGAATTGGGAGAAATTTTATAATCCTCAGACAACTACTGTAATTAGATAGACATAAACAGGAGAGAGAAATAAGAGAGACAATTAAAAAGGTCATTACTCTAGTACCTCGAGTAGGATAAAATTTCTCCATGAATTGATTGTCATGCATCAATAGGCCTCGGTACGGTATTGGGGAAAAGATTTACAGTAAGATGGTCATTATTGTTTATATTTACTTGCTCCATTTATAGTGGTCACAGCTTTTTGGACAAGTCTTTTGAATTCAATGCAACTACCTAAATTTTGGAGTGAAGGCTCCTTTACTAACATTTCTGATTGGTTTGATATACTGCAGAGTACGCATACACCCTGAAAGTGGACGAGAAAAGTGATGTTTACAGTTTTGGTGTCGTGCTGCTGGAGCTGATAGCAGGAAGAAAGCCAGTAGGGGAGTTTGGAGATGGGGTGGACATAGTGAGGTGGGTCCGGAAGACCACATCAGAACTCTCTCAGCCATCTGATGCAGCTTCAGTCTTGGCAGTTGTGGACCCCAGGCTAAGTGGGTACCCTCTAACAGGTGTCATTCACTTGTTTAAGATAGCTATGTTGTGTGTTGAGGATGAGAGCTCAGACAGGCCTACCATGAGGGAAGTTGTCCACATGCTCACTAACCCTCCACAATCTGCCCCAAGCCTCCTCACCCTTTAGGAAGCATCTTGATGCGCATATGTACTCGACTCTAGACTAATGTTTTTGGACAAATAAAATCAAAGCCCAAATTGTCATAATTTTGTGGGGAATTGGTCGGCGATGTGACTTCGCTGGTGTAAAAAGTTTCATGTTATGTGTTGGTGTTAGCTGATTTTCTATGCTATGTTTTAAAAAGCTGATTGGTGGTTACTGTATTTTCATCATTTTAGTATTGTGCTGAATGAAGCTTCTTTTGAATGCATGTCATGGAAGAAATTTTATGATATTGAAGGAGTAATTATTATATATATATTATTCTATAGATCTACTTTTGAAAAGATATATATGTTTAAAAAAAAAAAACCGTTTAAATTTATTAAAAGTGACAAGATTTTTTATTTTGGTTCAATTTTTTTAAATTTTTTTTGTTTTTTTGTTTTTTTTTTTTCTGTAGAGTAATTTATGCTAACTTTAGATTTTTCTCTCACATTTTTCACTAGCGAAATTTTGTTCTTGAGAAATATTTCTCTATGTCATGCAACATAATCTATGATGTTTATGATAGTTTTGGAGAGTAAATTATAAATCAACATCTCTCATTTCGAAAATAAAAGAAAAAAGAATTAATTGGTTTTTTTTGTTTTAAACACTAATTTTTTAGTCTTTTTGTTTAAATTTTGTTATTAATTTGTTTTCTCGTTAATTTTTTTATTAGATTAAGGTTCATCTTAATTTTTTTTTTTTGATGTTTTATGTTTTGTTTTTTTTTCATCTAGTCTTTTCTCTCTTCTCAACTAAAAATCAAAAGAAAAGCAATTTAAAAACAAAAATCATTAATTTATTGTAAAATTAATAAAAAAACTAAGTTGTTGAAAAAAATTAAAATGTGAGAGATAAAATAATTATTTTTCAAAAGAAAATGAACTAATTAATTTGTTATTCTACACAAAAGAGACTAACTTATAAATTACTCGAGTTTTAGGACATCAAATAAAGGTTCTTTAAATTTTAAACTGCATAGGTTACAAAAATTACTATAATGCTAAAAGTTTACTACAAAATCGGTAAGGCAAAATGTTTATATCGTGACAATTACTTATAATTAGATTTGAATTAAATACATTTTTTTATTATTTCATTCAAATTTAATGATTTAATTAAAATGATATTAATAAAAAAAAAAACAAGTGGTAGCTCTCCCCATTTCTATTCTTTCGTCCAAATAAGAGCCGAATAGCTTAGCTAAGCTAGCCAACGCTAACTACATGATGCCTATAATGGCATCCACTGCTCAAAATGTCGATGTGACTGACATCAAGCAGCAAATGGTTGCTTGAACTTTTTATGGCTTGTTATGAGAATGGGTTATGGATTGTTCAAAATCACCCATCCCCTTGTTCCGAGGCACTGTATTGACCTATATATTTAGGATTTCTCTGGATTTGGAATGCAAGTGAAGGATAAATTAGTTTGAGGACCCAAATGAGAATTGGTATATCGGAGAATCTACGAGGTGACGAGTTGGAATTAGAGTTGGGCCGCTTTCAAGTTTGGAAAGTGAGTTTCATACAATATATCATTCTATCAATTGGGCCTAACTGATTCAAAATTAAGCCTTTTCTTCTTCTTAGGCTCATGGAGAATGGCAATGGAGGTCAACAAGAAAGAGGCAATCAAAAGGACGCTAACATTTTATGAAAATGAAAAAAATAAAATAATGATGTGAAGTTCGGAATTGAAATCAAGTGAAATGATCAATAATGAGGAGAATTGTGCCTTCTTTCTGTTGGACCCAACAGCTGACTATGATGGTCCATGGGCCACAACTTTTCTAGTTTCATGGCCTATCTGCTGACATAGGAACTTTTTGATTACAGAATCAAGCAGGACGTAATGGATAGAACTTAGGACTGATGAGTGGAATACATAAGTAACTGCACTCAATGTCTCAATCCCAACAAATTAAATCAAGCTTTTAGCTCTTATCCATTTTCTTTCTCTTTCTAGTTTATATGTCATTTCGAAATGAAGCCGCACCATTCTTAATTTCACAGGTATTTTAGAGACGGTCCCCCCTCTTTACCTCTCAAGCAAATTGGAAGTTGACGTAAAACACAAAATTGAAGGGAGTAAAGACAAAGATGGGGGAGCAATTAGTGGGCTGCCTTTTTATTGGCCGGGACTAAAGTGGTGGAGATGGACCCGTTAAGAGAGACTCATGCAATGGGCCCTGTTCGATCGAGGCGGTCTTACCTGCTTGCGAAATGCTGACCATGTGCAGGCAGATTATTTCACTCCACTGGATGTTCCAATAAGACTACTTTGATAACGATTAATCGACTAAAATGGTAGAAACCTCTCCTGAAATTTAACCTATTTAAAAATCAGTTTTAAAATTTTTAATTTATATTTTGATATTTTGAATTATTTAATTGATTTTTCAGTTTTTGATAATTTATCCTGAATGAATTATGATTACATTAGTAGTCCTATCATGAAAACATTTAGTTAGATTTATATAAAGTTTTTCAAAGAATTTAAAGTTATTCGAGATTTTTTATATATTTAATATTCAAAAAATAAAAAAATATATAATTCCCAGTCTTACAAAAATTTTGGAATTTTTCTAAAATATGGATTGAATTTTTTTCAACCTACGTGTGTAAAATTTTGTATCAAAATACTGAAAATTAAATTTTTAGAAGATGTGTGGTGGTTGAAGATTATAAAATGGATAAATCTAAGAAAATATAAAGTTCAAAGAGATCAAAACAAAAATTCAAAATTCAAAAACTGACTTTTATATTAATTAAAACTCAGAGAACGTTTGCTCCTTTTAACCTAATTAATCCATCATCATATTAAATATAACAATTAATCCTTAATCAAATAAAACGAAGCTGCAATAACCCTACGGTCAATGGGTTGAACCTTGACTCAACATCCTTGCACCTTCGAATTTTGTATATGATATAAGCTGGGAAAAAAAACGAAGAAGTTGCGTAATGATTATGCCAACCGTCAGAATCATAATCGATTTTGACCATGGGATTATAATTATAATAGCCTTCTAAAAGGACTTGATCCACCTATGATTTAGTGAATATCTTATCTGTGAGTTTGAACCGAATTAAGAACATTCTTCGGCGGCTCCCTGCCGAATTATCTCACAACGTCATCAAATTAGCTATGAATCTGCAGTAGTCCTACAAGGAATGCCGTTATTATATAATAGAGAAGGATTGTCTTCATTGTATAACATATAGTTAATAGATATTTGGATGAATAAAAACAAAAACAAAAAACAAAAATGGCGTATAACTTAATTGTATTTCTTACAAAAATGAGATGTATTAGACTTGAGTCTCGCATTCTTCATTTCATGACTAATATTTATATATAAAAATAAACAAGCAACCCCAAGAACATACAACAAAGAAAGGTTAAAGCAAATGATTACATTCTTAATATCCTATATATGAAGACGTATCTTGAAATATTGATTTTAGATACCAATTGGGCATGCTTTCCACATTATTTTAAATTCAAATCCCAAAAAGATTGCAAATAGTAAATACACATATGATCTAAGTATTAAATAATATTAAAAACTATATATTTATTTTGAGTATGCAAACATGAAAACTAGAAATGTAGTATTGTAAAAAAATAGAAAAAATCGATTAGCATATATATATATATTAAATCTCAAGCATTTGGGTAAATTTTAGTTTTTTTTTCCTTAAAATTTTAAAGATTTTTCTTTATTTTCATTTGCATTCAGATGAAAATATTTTTATTATGAGTTCGGATGTTATTTTTTTTATATCTCTCTCGTGAAAATAAGGTCATAGATTAATTATGGTAAATATACAATAGTTTATGTTGAAGTATTTTAAAAATTATCTTCATAAAACTATCACTTTAGCGTCATAGGTAAAAAAAAAAAAAAAAAGAGAGAGAGTCGTTTGTGATTAGAGTTTTAGAAGTCCCACAGTTATCTTGCCAACATCTAACTACTCCAATAACTCCAATGAAATTATCTTCCTCTTTTAACCTCTATCACCATCTTAACTCTAACCCTCTCTTCCTTCTCTTTATAATCTCCACATCGCATTAATTTAAATGGTATTTATTATTTTTAAGTTACAATTAATCTATTTTATTTTTTTCAGAAGTTATTGATTTTGGGTTCTGGATTTTTTAGCATATTGGCCTCTCTTTTTCTCATTCTCAAAGCATCTTTATCCTTTCCATCTCTCCTTTATATTCTTTGATTTTTCTTGAAAGGTAACTGCAGTTTGATACATATATAATATGATTTATTTTGTTATTGTTAGCTAACAATACCATCATCAACTAGAAAAAAATCCACGTAAAAAAAAAAGATAAAAATAAATAGAATTATACTTTTAAGGATCCAAAAACAATAAAAATAAAAACCTTTGTGTTTCTTTAACTTAAAGATAAGGAGCTGCAATGCTGATCACGCCAATAACTAAATTTTTTTTTAAAAAAAAACTCTTCTCTCATAATGTGTTAAATTTTATAACTTTCAGGGTTTCGATTCTCTAATTTTATTGTTTTCTCTTTTTTTGATCTTTTTTTTTTCAGGATTCACATCTTACAATTTATTTTGTTTACGCATGGTTAGATAAAAGATCTGAATATATATATATATATATATCTTATCAAATGGTTTATTTGTTCTTGCAAGTAAATTTATTTTTATAATTTAATAGTTCATTTTTTTTTACTAGTCTCTTGATACGTATAGTTACTATATTTCTTCAAGTTTGTTTATATGAAAATAGGGAAAGAACGGTTATAATCGAAGCAAGGCAATTTATAACATGCCAAGAGTGGATTATACAAGTCCACTATCAGACAAATACAAAAAAATAATAATAATAATAATAAATAAATAAAGTGATGAATTGTTTGAATATTTTTTTTGAAATTAAATTCATCGATAGTCAACTCCCTATAGAAATATTTTATTTTAGAAATTGAACGTTAGATATCACTTGCTTACTTATATGTTTTTTTATTATGCACAGGTATTTATTTATTATTACTTCTTCTTTTTTTTTTTGTATTAACTCACATGACACGTGGTTAATAGATTAGTATTATGAATAGTTTCTAATAGGGCTATAATAAGAAAGAAAAAAGCAATAAGACTTCATGTTATACAAGTTTCCATTAGGTCTTGTGTTAATAATATGTCTTAAAACCTAGCGTATCTATTAATAAAACATCCAAAACATCCCAACACCCCACCCCCTCCCCCTCCCAAAAAAAAGAAAAAAAGAAAATTTAATTCAAAAAAGCTTTGCAATTAATTAAAAAAAAATGATCCAAGAAACAAATCAAAAAAGAAACATGGAATTTAGAAAAAATAAACTTATAACTGTTGCTAAAATCAAACAAATAAAAACTCAAATCTCTCAAATATTCAAATTGCATTTTTTTATTTTGTATATTTGCATATATTAAATTATTTTGAATTAATTTTTACATCAATTGAAACTAAGTTCATCATTCTTCGTACCGATCCATTTCAAATCACTTCTTTTATGAAATATTCATTCATGTAAATAAAATAAAAAAATATCCAAAATATCTCAACCCAAAAAAAAAAAACCGAAGTTTTAATTAAAAAAATATTTGTAAATAATTAAAAAGAAAAATGGAATTTAGAAAAATTAAACTTAGAACAATTATTAAAACCAAACAAATAAAAACTCAAATCTCTCAAATTTTTATATTTACGTATACGAAGATATTCTCAAAAAATTTTTTGCATCAATCGAAACTACTCCATCACTCTTCACACCAATCCATTTTTTTATTCTATGAAATATTCGCTCATGGGAATAAAATAAAAAATAATACATGTGTCACGAACAAAACAAAGTCGGTCCATTTATGTTTTTCCCCTCTGTTTTCATTTTGATTTTAGGTATAAGTAGGGTGGCTTTGAAAATCTTTATTCAACTTTTATTTTTTTTAGAAGTCTAATATATATTTTTAATCGATTATTCCAATTTCAAGTCTTTCTTGTTTGTTATCAATGTGGATCCAGAGTATTTTGGATAATTTGTTTAGTAGATATATTAGATGCAAGTTGTATCATCAACAAAGATCCCATTTTCTGGTTAAACTATCGTTTTTTAGCAATTGCCATCAAGCAATGAAGATTCGGCAAATCATGGTTGGTCATGAATGCAAATATCATCAATTGCACGTGAAATACATGTCTATTTGCCATCCATTAATCATCTTCTTCGTGCCTGTGGCCACATGATCACTTTACACAGTATGTATAAATCCTTGATATCATTTAGGTAAGGTTGGTCAGATATATTTTTCATGAAATAATTTTATAATACATAAAATGGTTTTTTTTTACTCTTCCATCTCTGTGGAACCTACTTGTTTCATGCATTCCTAGCACCTTAGGATAGGAATATGTTGTCCAACTAACCTCAGAGAAGCGTTAGCTGCATGAGCATCTCGAATTGACCACTCACGCCCTTTTCTTTTCCTTACCTTTTGTATTGTTTCTTGAGCGACTCTTTCTTTCTTCACTCTCATTGGGAAAATATATATATATATATTTCTCCTTTTTTTTATTTGGAGTATAATAGTTGAGTGGTAAGAAACGAATCAAATAAAAAATAAAATAAAAAATGATAACAATTAGATGATACAAAATTTATATGATCGGACAATGTATTTATTTTATTATTATATTTAGAGTTCTAGTTAGATTTTTCATTCAATCTAAAATAAAAAAGATAATATTCATATTTATAGTTTAGAAGAATAAGATTATATAAAAAAAATATTACGGATAATCTAATATTCTGCCGTACCACCTATACGTAGCGTATTAAATCACATTATCTTTTCTTCGATCTCAATAATTTAACACTTCAGGCTTCTGTTAGTAAACTTAATATTAAATGCAACTGTAAACTGCAGTACAAAAGCGGACTGACATGGAATGGAAGAGCCATAGTGCTTGGCTGGCCCAAAATAATCAAATTAAAAAAAAAAAGATTGTAATAATTAAACCTTCTTGTTTCCACAGCTACTCTTGCTGTCTATGTCTAGGTTTAAAAAAAAAAAAAAAACCTTCAAATTTCATCTCTCTTACCTACTAATGGCACGGTCGTCTAATCTCTGCCCTACCAAAATCCTGTCTGCAAAAACTAGATCCGTGTTTTGGGTTCTATAAAAGCTTTAAATTAGCAGCTGGCAATCGATTTAGAGTTATATCAACAGGCAAAGTAAAAGTGCTTTTCTCAAAGAGTGTTTTTTTTTTTTTTTTTTGAGATGCATACATATAGGTTTTCAAAGATTTTGGTTTTTATTTTCCATTTTTTGCCACCACTTTTTTCATGGTTGACATTTTGCGCAAAAAGGGACATGGATACAGAAAACAAACTTGTTGGTGTCCAAATTCGAAGTGAAAGGGGCATGTTTCAATATCAAACATGCTAGTTCAAGCATCTTGGACCCTTAAATAGATGGATTTCATTTTCACTGGACACATGGTGGGGCTTTCAAGCTACCCCAACTTTAGTATGCATGTAGGGTGTATATATATATATATATATATATATATATATATATATATATATGATTTAGATTTTAGATTAATCAAAATTAAAATTATTAATTATTGGGTTAAACCAAAGTCAAAACTTGTTTAGTTTTTTATCGATTACCGAATACTTTTTTTAAACTAAATTAACCCAAACTTAATATTATTAAAAAATAATCATTATTAATTATTTATAAATAATGAAAATAAAAATTTAATTTTGATAGAATCAAAACTATATTTTTTAAAACCAGATTATATCATTTCAAGGTAGTTTCTTTCTTAAATTTATTAGTTGTTAAGTTGAATCAACATCAGAATACGTCTATTCTTTGGTCGATTAATGGATTATTTTTCTAAACCAAATTAACTCAAAATTAAATATTATTAAAAAATAATTATGATTAATTATTTATAAATAATAAAAATTTAATTTTAATTTTAACCAAATAGGCTATATCTTTTTAAGGTAGTTCCCTGCTCAATTTTCGTGGGCTTGACTGCACAAAATTCCCACTCTAAAATCATTGAACCTGCATACCACACGTGACTGATAAAGGGACACAATTGACAGAGACAACGATGTGCCTCCTCTCATTTTCTGCTTGTTACCTTGTCCATCTTCTTTCCGTCAATCTCATCATAAAAAGCCCCCACATTAAAGATTAAAGCATACCCGAGGTTGACAGTTTTTTAGGCAACTTACTTTCCTGAAAAATATAAAATAAAACGACACTTATTTTCCGGATAAAGTATGTTTTAGTCCTTGTATATTTGATAATGTTTTGTTTTGACTTTTGTATTTTTCTTTTTCGTACCAACTTCGTTATAGTCTTTAGAAATTCCAATCTGGCATTTGTCGTTAGGGCACCACTGCATGCTAAGAATATAGTATCTAATACAATGTATGCATCAAGTTCAATACTCTGGTTTTATTACGTAGATCAAGATCTAATTAATATATAGATATATCACGTTATTTATATAATCAAGACTCGTAATTTTAGAAATAATTTTTGTTGCTTTTGTTTTTTGTAGATTCAATAATAAAGATGTCTCCGAGACTAGTTTTTGTGTTTTTTAAAACTAATTTCTTTTTAAACGTATTTAAAAAATATTCTCTAAAGCATTATCTCAAATATTTTCAGATTAAATTCTCATAAATGCCAGTTACAAAATCAAATTCTTGATCTAATTTACAAGTCATGCTTGTTTATCAATAATCTAACTTATAAGTCATACTTGTTTATCAATATACTACCACATTGTGATTAGATAATTAAATTGATCAATTTAATATCTATTTTTTAAATTTTTTATTTTAGCATTTATCTTTTCTCTCTTGATTTTATCTTAAAATTCCATACATAAATTACACTGCTTTAAAATCTTTAAAAATTAAAAATTAAATATCAAATTTTTTTAAAAGTGACTAGTTATTGATTTTTTGCTGTCAACTATTTAACAACAAAAGACATGTTCAATTTTTTTCCCTCAATATCTTAAACATTAAAAAGCTAACTAAAACGTTGTAAAATCAGATTAGAATATAGTTTAGTGGAGTGATTACGTGTTAATAAAATGTAAGAAACAAAGGACATTCCGTATAAGAAATAAAAACAGGCAGCCATCGTCACCGGTTGACTAGACAATCTACCTGGTCACTAAACCGAACCGGCTGGAAAACAAACGGCTCAATCGCACGCATCGCACGTGCATATACCCAACTTTGAAATAAAACAGACCAGAAAATTAAATTATAAAACTTTTTAAAATTAAACCAAAAAATAGAAAAAAACAGAAACTCAAAGAACTACAAACTCTTCTGTCCTCTGCTCTATCTTCTCTCTCTGTGGGAGCCTCAAAGAGAATACCAAAATAGGGTTTTATGTTCTAAACCTGAAAAACACAGACAAAACACTTCATTTTTAGAGAGAGAAAGTTAAAAAGAGAGAATTTTTTAGAGAGAGAAACAACAAAAAGTTTTTGACTCTCGGAGCTGTCTCACTCACTAGCTAGGGTTTTCAATTCAATTCCTTTGTGTTAATTTATCATCAAGGTAAAAGCTTTATCTTAATTTATTTTTGGAAATATAATTGATTTTTTGTTATTGCCAATTCATTTCCATTTATGAGATTTATTGTTATTTAATTACATATCTACACGCATTAATTAGGATAATCTTAATTTAGTTCACAAAATCTCGTTAAATTTACATCGTATCGTTTAATATGAAGCAATAAAAAAGAACTAGGGTTTTCTTTTGCTTTCTTCTTTTGATGGTTTTTGAATTCTAGGGTTTGGTCTTCTTTGTTGCTGTTACTGGGTTTTTGAAATGTTATAGGTGAAATTGATGGAAAAGTAAGCTCCTCTTTATTGTTTTGAGCTGATTATCTTTGAAATTCTCTTGTTTTTCCAATTCAATTGGTGGATTGGTGGGTTTTCATTTTACTGTTCCTTTCCTGATTTTGAGTCTAGTGGGATTGAAATGGTCTGTAATTGAAGGATGCCTTTAAAAAGTTCTGATCTTTGGATAGTATTACTGTTGGTTTCAGGGCTTGCTATTATTTTTCTGTTGTTGCATGTCATCAAATTTGTATACTGATTATCTTGTGTTGTCTACAATTGGTATCAGTAGGTTTGCGTGATCAGTTCTTTCACCTGTGTTTTTATTGGAAATGTTGTTAGTGTGTTTTCTTTGTAAGTGTCGATGAAGGGACTTTGGTAAATGTTGAACATGAATAACTGTTTGATCTGTGCACATGAAGAAAAATCTTGTGCAGTGATGTTGGCCATAAAGTTGTATTTCTGTTATGGTGCACGAAATCTGTGCATACCAGGTGCTAGTCGAGGTTACAAACGCCAAGCATAACGTAAAGTATGTTATGCTTGTCATGCATTGAATTCACTTTCTTGGTTAGGCATTTTGAAAAAGCTGGTCTGTGCCAAGGACATACAAAAGTAATCATGCATGCTTTTCATTAAGAAATGATGAGTTGATTATTTTGTGTAGTTCGTTGGTGTTTTACCCTTATATTCAAATCTTGTAAAATGCTTATTTTGTGAATGTGTTTCTCAATATAAAAACCAGTGCAAGAAAGTTTTTCATTAGTAATCCTGCAATCTTTTGTTTTCTGCTGTTTTTGGATGCCATGAAAGAAGATAATTGTGCTTTATCTTTACAACAGCACTGCATTCTCCACGTAATGTTCTGATGCTCTGGAGTAAGGCCCTAGTGTTGGAACCGACAAAATCCTTAAAAAGGGAGTGAATAACCTAGCCCTACCAAATTCTGCATTAAAAGTGGTGGCCTGTTCCTCTCCCTCCTGCAAAAGTAACATCTATCAGTTTGAGATTTCAAATGCAAACTAATTAAATGATTTACCATTTTTTGGGCCATGATTGCTAGCCCACAATTTGTCAGATTCCACGCAATCTACCATCCTTATTTTCTAGTGCACCTTATAACCTGTGTTAGAGGATGCAATTGTTGACTAAATTTGATAAAGGAAATTATACTCAACATGGAAGGTGAACTAACTTTCCCCTTTTGTATTGTTGTTCTCAATCGGTGACCATTTATCATTTCTTTTGCATCCCTGCTTCTGTTCTCTATGCATCATAAGAGTATCCTGAACCAATGCTGAAATAACCTTGACACATCCCTGCATTCATGTGTTTTTAGTTCGTCTTTGTTTAGTTTCTGATACATGTTTTTTAATGAATTCTAATCTGAATTATACCAAGTGTTTGCCAGCTATTATATACCGTCTCAAGCTATCCACTCAGGAATTCTGTTTTGTTCCTTCTGCAGGGCATCCTATAAATAGTTCTGGAAGTTGCTGTGGTTCTTGATGGAAAAGAGCAGATTATTATGCCACAAGGACTTCTTCAATGCTTGGGGGTGCATGTAAATCATTATGACACTTGAAGATTTCTTTACACTGACTGAGATGAAGGACGGGCTCACAGCCCCTTCACGAGTCCACGAGTTGGTTGCTGTAATGCAAAAGGAGAAATTTAGTGCTGTGAACAATGTTGGAGATGCAACCAGGCAATGGGCTGCTGTTGCTAGCACAATTGCTGCTACAGAGAATAAAGATTGTCTTGATCTTTTTATTAACTTAGATGGACTATTGTTTATTGATAGATGGTTAAAGCTCGCTCAGAAGTTCAGTAATGAAACGGGCGAAGGCTCTGTAGAAGAGTCAATCACTGCATTGTTAAGAGCACTGGAAAAGCTGCAAATAGGCAAGGAGAGGTCCATTTCTTCAGGGGTCTGGGGCACTGTCAATAATCTACTTGACCACAATAGTTCTCGGGTTCAGGATAGGGCAAGGGCACTGTTCGATAGCTGGAAGCCTGGTGAGGTTAGTGATGCAATTCACCATGATGTTCAGAGCGTTGGGGCATTTGATAATGTCAGAATGAATGACGCTGACACTGGCAAAACTGAACATGTTGCTGTCGATCTTCCTCTTTCAAATGGAAGTGCTGATGTCGAAAATAAGGTTCCAGAACGAACTGGAGATGAACATTTGCAATCAAGAAGCTCAAATTGTCTTCCGGCAGAAATCATCCAGGATGTACGGATTCAAACAAATGATTGTGATAATCAAATTTTAGACCATAGAAATTTGGAGGATAGAACACAAGACCCTCTTACTGCTGCTGTGGATAGATCTTTAGATCCTCTTTCCACCCCTGTTGTGTCAAATTCTGATCAAGAAAGTCCGTCATTGAAAGAAAAATCCCAGGTGAATAGTACTGTAGAAGTGACTGCTTCTGCTGATACTCATAGTTTAGCAGTTCTGAAGGGACACACAGCTGATCCAGATTCAGAGGCTCCAAACATGCTAACTGACAAATCAGCTGCCTCTAGTAAAGTGGAAGCTGAAGCTATTTCCTTAAGTAATGTTGCCGCAAATGCTCAGGAAATTGTGACAGAATCTGCTTTGCAAAATAATGTTGTCTCCAAAGAGGATAATTGCTGTTCAAGCGCAAGTGCTTCTGGCGATGTGGCAATACCTGTATCTACACCAAAAGTCAGGACAGATGAAGCGGAGAATGGAAATCAATGTCAAACACCGATATATAATTCTACTGCTGAAGATGGTGAATTTTCTCCTGACCCTCCACAACATTTGTCTGTCAACAAGAGCACATCGGAGAAACTTGACAATTTTGGGAGTCTCTTTTCACGGATGGAAGATGTTGGTGCCAGTGATGATGATAGAAAACATAGCAGTGACAGGGCTGAGAATAATTCTGATTTCTCTAAACCAACCACGGAGGAACGTAGTCCAGATTTGATTGATAGAAGGTCCGATATTGAGCTCGAGTATGGCATAGTTGATGCTCTAGAAGTTGCTCGACAAGTTGCTCAAGAAGTGGAGAGAGAAGTTGTAGATTACAGAGACCAATCTTGCAGCTCGACTTCGGAGAAAATCATGGAAAGTGGTATTAAGCAGCCAGGTAGCCCAGACTCCGTAAATGTGAAACAGGACCTGTCCTCTGAGATCCCTCCAGAAAATGTGCCAACTAGACAAAATCAGCCTTTGGAGACACGTGCTGAACAAGAAGGGTGCTTAATTGATTCAAATAATCTGGAAAATGAAGCAGAGAATGGCATGCATGAGCTGGAGTCCTCTCAGGTTACTGAAGTGGCTCAAGAACCAGAAGTTAATACAGAGAAAGGCTTGTGTGATTTTGATCTGAATGAAGAAGTCTGTTCTGATGATATGGATCGTCCCATGAATATCTCTGCCCTGGTTTCTGTTGTTTCAGCATCAAGACCTGCAGCAGCTTCTGGATCGCCTGCAGCTCCTTTGCAGTTTGAAGGGACTCTTGGATGGAGAGGTTCTGCAGCTACTAGTGCTTTTCGTCCAGCTTCCCCACGCAAGACTTCTGACGGGGACAAGCCACTTGAGACTGGGGGAAGCAGCAATAGTTCAAAACAAAGGCAGGTTTGCCTTGATATTGATCTCAATGTGGCTGAGGGTGGTGAGGAGAAGGTCATGGATTTGATTTCGTCAAGACAAATGCCTGTCTCATCAGGCTTCCATTCCGGGGAATCTTCTTTAGAAGTGGGTTCAAGAAGACAAGAGAGGCCCAGCCTGGATTTAAATCGTACCAGTGATGATGGTGATGCTCCACCGACAGATTTGAGAATGGAGGGAAGGTTCTTTTACCAGCGGAATGGCCATCGCAGTCCATCTCCCGCTTCGTCATCATCTTCAATGCAGCCTTCTCTGAGGAACTTTGATTTGAATGATAAACCTTTCTTTCATAACGACTCTTTGGATCAAGGGCTCTATCATAGCAAGCCTTCCCAAACTGCAAGTGCATATGGAGGATCTAAACCAGGTGATCCTGTTATTTCTATCATGGGTACTCGAGTGGAACTGGGTGGTAGAGTGGAAGTTGACAGAAAGGATTTTATTCCCCAGAGTCCATCCCTGCCAAATGGCAAGCCTCTGGAACATGCAATGGATGCTAATCACACAAGAATGGGAGGTGTTTTGGGTATGGTTCCTACTGCATCATACACACATTCTCCTGTTTTTGGGTTCAATCCACTGCCAACAGCACCCGCCATGTATGGTCCTGCTGGCTCAATCCCTTATATGGTGGATTCAAGAGGAGCCCCTGTCATGCCTCAAATAATGGGCTCTGCAACAGCTGTTCCTCCTTACTCCCAGCAACCATTCATCATGAGCATGAGTGGCGCACCCCTAGGTTTAAATGGTGCTGGCCCCTCACGGCCTAACTTCGACTTAAATTCTGGTTTTGCGATTGAGGGGGAAGCACGGGTGGTTTGCGGCAGCTATTCATGCCCGGCCAAGGCAGCTCACAACCTTCTTCAAGCTCTGGAGTGGGTGCGAAAAGGAAGGAACCAGATAGTGGATGGGAATCCGCTTACTCTTTACAATATAAGCATCCACAACCTCCATGGAGATAGAAACTTCCTAATTGTCAGGGTGCTTACTCTTGGAATCAGTTGATAAATCTGTTCAAGTTGGTTCATACTTGGATTGCAAATGATAATCCGGCAGAGTAAGCTGATTGGCGCCGGAGGGAAGCAGAATAAAACTGGGGGCGTTGTGAATGATATTAATTTCTGAAGGAGGAAAAAAAAGATTAGGTTTTTTATTGTTTTTATTTTGGTTTAGTTTCTTACTTCCATTTTCTGTGTTTTATAGAAGGCAATTGCAATCATAGAAGCTTTGGTAAATGTAGCTGTAATTTATCTTCGTCATATAGCACAGAAATTTAAAGGAACTAATTTTGTCTTCAACTTCATTTTTTGAAGTTTCTTTTTTCTTTTCTGATATTTTCAAGTCTCTGTACAGAAGGTCGTAAATTTAATTTCATTAGTTTACTATTCCTTGTTCCGATGAACAAAAGCCAATGGTACATTCTTTGCTTGTATTTTTAATGAACTGTGTTCCACCCGAGGCCCAGTACTGAATCCCTTTCTGAAGATCTGTGAAAGTTGCAAACTGACGGATTGTGGAGGGGTCGATTTGCAGCCGTCTTGCGTATGGATGAAACAAAACTACGGCTTCTGTTGATTAATAAAGACAAGAAACATGGATGTGGAATTCAAAAGCAGAAAACCTACGAGGCCAGAAGTGGTCGAGCATCAAGACTTGGTCACAGAAAAGAGACGATCCTAGTTTCAGGTCCCACCTACTCTCGATATCTTGTAATTCCTAATCCTTGATACATGTGATTCGTGAACCACGAAAACCTCTAACAGACTTTAGGGAGATTCTACCCTACTAATTGACCAGATGCTGGCAGTTTTTTTAAAAAAAATAAACGCACGTTTCCAGAATATAAGGTAACTCGAGTTACATTCTCAGAGATAAGAATGAAGAAGCCAAACGGTAATTAAGAGAGACCATTGGGCCCATAGACCAATATTTTACCAGAAGGGCCTTGAGACAAGGACGCATAATTGATCCAAACTGTTGGCCAAGTCCAAGAATCTATTAAGAGAAGCCATTGGGCCCATAGACCAATATCTTACTACAAGGGCCTTGTGACGAGGCGGCATAATTGATCAAAACTGTGGGCCAAGTCCCAGAATCTATAAATGAACTCTGGATACATTTGTTGATACGGCTTGATGTCTCCTAGTAATACAAAAAATAAAATAAAAATAAAAATCGCAGATTGGTTGTTTAATACATCAAGGGACATAATGGAACCGGTCTAGCCCCCATCACCAAGACGTCAAGGACGCTTTTGCATTCGTACCATCATCAGCTAGTGTCTGCTTCTCTCTTCCTCTAATCGGCAGAGCAGAAGTATGAAACCTTCATAACAAATGGCGGTCAATGATAACATAATTTGATGGCCAACTTGATACTGCTACCTGCGCTTATACCTGAAAAAAGAAAATGGATATCGATGAGTATCTCATTCCAGTACTTGGAATGATCAAATTCGGTAACTTCTGAAAAGAATATTATTTTGATACTTATAACCAAGAAGTCTTCGAATCTTACTCTGGAACGTCCTATCTAAAGCAATCCATTGCATCTAAAGATATGTGCTAAGCTACTTTTAAATAATTTTAGCAATACAAGTATCTTTGCTGGCATTGGGAAGGGGAAAATCAGAAATCTATTACTAAGATTACAGCTGCAGTAATAATGCATCATGCAAGACTTAGAACGCTAAGCCTCGCTGATGGAAATATAACAACGGAGATAGCATGGCATGTTTATTGTTGGGCATCTTAGGAATGTATAAGCTCCAAGAGAACTCCTTTTATTCATAGAACATAGGTACCCCATTTCAGAAACAGAAAATTTCTGCAATAATGGAGACCCATGTTATGTGATAAACTACTTGTGAGGTAGCCCTGCTGTTAACTGCTAGACATTAAGCAGTGGCTTAACGAAGACAACTTACTTATTAGCCTTTGTTGATAGAGATACGTCTCCTGTAGCTTTGATTCTATACTATAAGACAGTATGTAGGAGATCTCAAAACAAAAATACTGAGAAAAGAAGAAATATCAAGCTGATTTATACCGTGATTTGCTCTTAAATGAATTCTTGGACTTCCTGTTTCCTGTTCCACTACTTCTCTTCTGCTTTCTCTCACTCATGTCACTCTGGAATAACTCCCGCATTTCTTCTGTCCTTGATTGAGTTCTTTCAGAAGGCTGCTTTGATTTCTTACTAGCCTTCTTCTGCACAATCCTTCCAGCATCCACTGCCTTCTTCACAGCCTTTGCTGCTTTTGCCCGCCGGTAACCCAGATCAACCAGTGACATTCCAGTCTTTTCTTTGTTATTTTTTCCACTGCCCTGCAGTACAATATGAGCAAAACAGTTCACTTTGCAAGAAGCACAAAAGAAACCTTTGCACATAACAAAACTTTAGCATTGCAATACGTTGGCCTAGTTAATGATCTTATGAAAAACCTGAAAAGCACAGATACATGGACATACAAAATGCCACATCGAAATCCTACAACAGAAACATCTTTGAGAACTATAGCTGATGAGCATATCTACCTTATGGTTTGATATTAGTCATTTAAAATATATAGTGCCAAAGACAACAGAACAAGATTATTCATGCTCAATTTTTGCACAAAGAAAAAAGAGGATACCCGCACCGCTGGTCTCTCGGTTAGATCTTCATCCTCTAGCATCTCTCTGGCTGCTTGTAATTTTCGACGCTTTTTGCGGGGTAGATTTTTCTGTTCAACAGAAATTAGTTTTGGTTGCGAGGACAAATTTGTTTTAATCAGACAATAATAGCATTAAAAAAAAAAACAATCACCTCACGCTCTCGCTTCCTCTTTTCCTTCATTTTAAGATCTTCGGCTTGTTGGGCACTCATCACCTCATTTCCAGAACCATTTCCTTTTTCAACAGATAATTGCTGCATGAAATTGTAGACAACATTCGATTAGTAGGAGAAACTAACTTCATTTAGTTGCTTAATATGAAGTGTTGAGACTTGAGAGTTGAAACTGAAAATAGAGGTAAATCATTTAACAAGGGAGGAAATAGCTCAGCTTGTGAGTATTCCATTTATAAAGAAGAGAATAGCATTATTGCTTAAGAAGCATGCCTCTAACATAAAAAACCATCTTCACATGATTCTCATCCCCTTCGAGAATAAAATTATAAAAGGACATCGAAAAAATACACCCAAAGCCTTCCCAGGGTTCCCTGCCATATGACAGCAGATAAAACCTAGATTCTTCATCAACATCTTCAAGAAATCATTATGTTGACAAGGTTCGTGTAGTTTCCTTAATGGCTATCGTACTGGCATTTTTAAATGGCCAGAAAAATAAATTCCAATTCCTACTTATGAACATCTGGGACAGATTTGTATTTGAACATACAAGGCATAACATAAACAGCCATGATAGTATAGAAATCACCTTTGCTGCTTTTGCTGCCAGCATTTTCTCTCTCTCTGTTACAAACCAGGTCCTTTTGGGACGTGAAAAGATTTCATCCCTATGTGCAATCATATTTTCTGCCTGCAAGAATCATAGAAGTGCATGAACTTCAGTGTTTTCTCAAGTTAACAGCTTCCAAAGCCACAAAATTCTTCTACACCAATAGTAATGACCTTCAATGCAATGTGATGGCCAAAATATAGAGAAAGAAAGGGAAAAAAAAACAGAATTAGATGACAAGTACTCAAGTTATAACTATGGATTATGAAGTACGCTATACCATTGACAAGATCAAGAGATAAGCAGTCTAGTTGGAGTTAAATACCTTGGTTGCTTCCATTTCAGCTTTTCTTAGAGCTCTCTCTTCCCTGCAGTAATTGAACATTGACAACTTCAGCACAAAATAAGAATATCCGTTTAGCTGAAAGAACTATGAGAACAGAATCCCATCAAAACCTCTCTTCTTGAAGAACATCAGCCACTTGATTTTCCATTTTCTCAATTATTTGAGACCACTTAATAATTGATTGCTCTGCAACAATACGGCTCTTCAACTTCGAACCAGCTCTCTTTGCCTGATAAATGAAGAACACAACCTCTGGGTGAGTCATATTCCACAGCCACATGGGTGAAACTTCTAGTTTAACATTAGCAACTTCATGCAGAATAATGAAGAGTTGGACTATCTCCAAGTTTTCCTTTTAAAAACCTTCTTAAAATGGGATCATATAGAATATGCCCTTCTACTGAGAGCATCCATATATAAATTTTATGATAAAATATTTAGCTAATAATAAGGATCTGCTTTCAGAATATAACATAATTGAAGATGAATAGACTATAAAACTAAAAAACAAGATGTTTCCATGTGTTTTGAGTGTGTTTATTTTTATGTAAATTTAACAAGTGATATTTAGCCCAGAAGCCATAAACACACTTTAATATATTCCTTCCTGATGAAGACTAGACTATTGTATTGGGAATGTATTCAATTTTATATCAGATGCAACACAATCCCTCGCCCAAAGTATAGCAACAAGCTAAAAAGTCAGTTTAATTTTTAGGACCCAACAAATCCTAGAAAACCAGTGTATGAAAGTGCGGTTTGAACCCTCTGTGGTTATGAAAACATTCTCTTCTTAGGGTTTGGATACTGAAAATGTACGTGGTTTCTCCTAAAAAGCCAATAGGAAACACTGTTCATGCATTAAGAGAAGTAATGTCACTATTACAGAATAAATGGAATAGCCAAGAAAGAATTACTATGCTAAATTTAATGGTTCAAGATTAACAATGTCCAAGACAAGTGGCAGATGTATACTGTTTATTGCTTGGGGTAAAGTTGGCCAGAAAAGTTAAACAAGCCTTAGAAGATGAAAGGAAGAATATGGCTCACAATGGCTTTCAGAAGGGATCGATCGTTATCTGTCACAAATGTAACTGCATACCCTTCTCTACCAGCTCTTGCAGTACGACCCACTCTATGAATGTAACTGCACAGAGAAACAAACAGATAGGAAATACCACATTGCACCATGCTCATTCAACAACCCAAAACAGCATTCAAATGTAGGATGATGAATAAATAATCAGATAAAAAACAAATGTGTCATAATCAAGCAACATCAGAAAATAGTTCAGTATTTACCTAGTGAGGTCACGGGGACATGCATAGTTAATAACTGTCTGAACACCAATAATATCAAGTCCCTAAAAAAGGCAAGAAAAAGGTAAAAAGGTACACAAATTATATTATCCAACTTCCAAACAGAGAGGTGAACATCTAGATGTGAACGTAAAGGTTGGATACTCCCAAGTCCCAATGAAAGAAATACTTCAAAATTATTCAAACTCTTTAAATTCCAATTCTTGAACACCCCAGCACAAGAAACCCTTAAATCAACAAAACAAAATTAAAAAAGGGCTAAGCATGTGACATTGATAAAATAAAGCAAATTAACTATATGAAAAGGAATGTTTTAGGTCTTATGTTTCCACTTACTCGAGCAGCTACATCAGTTGCAATCAAAAAGTCGACTTCCTGCTTCCTGAAAAGTTCCAAAGCCTACAGCATTGAACCATAAATCAGTCTGTGAGGCAACTGAAGAAAATACCAAGCTAAGCACTGTACTGTCCCCAAGTTAAGACATTCTAGTAGCACAACAGGGAACAACATTTAGGCCACTGCGAATGCCAAAGCCAAGCAAAACACAACCTCTCAAATTAAGCTACTCACATCAAGACGCTGGGCCTGTGTAAGATTTCCATGAAGCTCAGCAGCTTTAAAACCTGCTAATCCAAACAAAATCTTCAACCTATGTGCAGCTTGCTTGGTTCCACTGCCAAAGGAAATTAAAATTGATCATGACATTCATGTAACTGATAAGTCTAAGTACAGGGAGAACATGCTTGAGTTGCAGAAAGCTAAAATTGCCAGTCAAACAGTATCAAATTTTGGAATGGTCCCAGTTAGCAACTTGTACTTGATTATTTTATTATTTCCATTTGCTCTGTTGTAGAATTTGATAATCTGGCAGCAGATACAACAATGAAACAAATCCAAGTTGCTGTTATTTCAACTTTCCACATGCACGCCAGCAAGACCATACATCTAGATGCATTGTGTAATAATTATTGGCATTTAGAACGGTGTTTAAATATTTTCTTTCAGAAGGTGGAGCAAATTCATGAAGAAAATGACAGAACATAATGTAATAGCAACCTGAAGACAATCACTCTGGATTTAAAAGTTTTTGAGCACAATGTGAGGAGTACTGCCTCCTGATTGACCTCACGCATCCTGCGTACTCTAAGCACCCTACAGAGAAGAAAACCATACTCCTGGTAAGTTAAAAAAATCGAGTATATCCAAAAATAAGTCGAAAGCCATTTTCCTATAATAACTTCTGTCAAAAATACACCCTTGCTAACATGCATCTCTGATATAGATGGATAACACATTGTAGTCAATATAAAAGAAAATGAGAACAAAGCAGGGTCAGAATGAATTACTCCTCGGTCAATGTTGCTGGTCGTTTTGCAGTAGGATCAGCTGAGAGACGCAGTGGTTTGGTTAGAGAAAGCTTTATAAGTTCATCAACTTCTTCAGTCATAGTAGCCGAAAATAGCATGGTCTGCCTCCTTTTGGGACAAATTCGAACCTGCCAATAAATCAGAAACTGATTATAAAAAACTAAACGAAGTAACAACATCTTCAATTAAAACTACATACAACATAAACCAACAAAATTGATTACTGAAATCCAGAAGCAACTATTGACTTCTTTATTCTATAGTGCCCAACTCAGTAAGACCTAAAATGATGTATTCCTAAATGTCAGTCAGCATGAATTTGTTAACTATAGGAGATATGGATGCAGTTAATTCCTGGAGCAATGTTTTACTAGATCAACCTGTGACTCTTGACAGTCAAGTTTACAAACAAAACTATTAACAATGACAGAAAACCATAGATTATTGTTTGCAATCATAGATTATGCAGGCAAAGAAGAAGAGGTCAAAGATACCAGCTCTTGAATTTCAGTGCTAAAACCAAGCTCCAGGAGGCGGTCTGCTTCATCAAGGATTAAAACTGCTAGATCATCCAAATCAACAGACATAGAATTGCGTAAATGATCTATCATGCGCCCTGGAGTAGCTACAACAATATCCGGCAATGATCTCAAGGCAGATTCTTGCACCTAAACAACAACGACATCAATTCCAAATTAATGATGAAGGAAAAACAAGGATTTCCCATTTGCAAGTATATGATATCACATTGATTGTACACTTCCGACCGTGTCCGATCAAATAATAGGTGCTATCAAAAGCAACACATAAAAAAAAAAAAAACTGGCGTTAGTCCATCACAAACAATGTGTACTAACTATGCAGTCAAGTAGATTGAAATGATGATACCTTCAAAGAAAGCCCACCAACGACCAAGCAACATCTAATATCCGTAAATTGAGCAAGTTTCTCAATCATACTGTGAACCCTGCAACACATAATACACCAATTAAAGAATCAACTTCAATCAAATATTTAGAAAATGAGATACACACAACTTTAACTAAAAGGATTAACAAATGAGCACTCACTGAACTGCCAATTCTCTGGTTGGAGTAAGAATAAGGACTCTTATTGCTAGAATACGTTTTGGACGGAACAGTAATCTCTCCAAAGTAGGTAATGCAAAAGCTGCTGTCTGTAAAATAAAATCCTCCACTATTATAATGTCTCCGAAATTTTATTCAATCAACTCATTTATTCACTAAACACAAAATGCTCCAATTTCAAGTCATGAACAGAAAGATCGTACCTTCCCTGAACCAGTAATAGCACTCCCGCAAATATCACGCCCGGTGAGTGCCAAAGGTATACAAGCCGCCTACAAACAATCCCTAAAATTCAGTGATCTAAACGAAAATGAAAGGAAATGTATGGCAATAAAATTTTAGGTGAAATTGGAAACCTGAATTGGAGTAGGCTTAGTATAACCTAAAGCCTCACAAGCTCGAAGCAACGGGCGAGACAGATTAAGCTCCATAAACGAATTGGCATGGAACGAAGTTCCTTCTGACGGCGCAAAAAATGACTTGCTTTCGTCTACATTAGTATCCACGTCATCGTCATCATCTTCCATCCTATAATCTTCCTAAGAAATTGATAAGATAGAATAGAATAAATGACACCTGTAAATTCTTTGAAAAAAATAAATGCGAAAAATTAGTTAGCTAGTCAATTACTTGTTTATCCGGTTCAGAATCCGACGAACTAGCATCGTCGGTGTGGTCTGGTATAGGAGTGGAGAGTTGTTGGCGAGCTCTGGAGATTTTGTCATCGATGGAAGTGGTGCTTCGACGAGCGTGTTCTTCAGCAACGGATTCGGAGTAAGAAGCGAAGTCCCATGGCGACTGCTTCTTCCGCCGTTTTGATGGCTTCTCTTCTTCTCCTTCTTCTTCGCCTTCTACTTCTGCTCCTTCCTCTTCTTGTTCTTCTGCTTCAGATAGTTCAACTTCTTCGTCGCTAGGAGGCTCAAATATGAAGCTTGGAGCCATTGATTTGACTGAGAAGAGGCAGAGAAGTTCGTATAGGTTGCTTTTAAAAGTTTTGTTCAGAAAGGGTTTTTGTGCTTTCGTTAAGGGTTTTGGAGACGAGAAGCAAGAGCTCTGGTGGGATTTTACTGCCCTCTATAGACGGTGTCGTTTCTACTCTGCTGACAGTCAATTAAGGTCCAATTTAAAGCTAATGGGCCTTTCTGAAGTGGGTCGGACATTGTTATTACACTATCAAATATCAAACAGGGAGGAAGCTAATGCCGTGGCTTAACATTATTAAAGGGTCCTGAAGGTTTGCCTGGACTAAAAAGGCCCAACTACTGGGCTTCCTCAGTGGGCCCATATTTAGGGCTGTTTAAGATTTCACTTGGTTATTTCTTGAGCATGTGATTGAATTCTGTGTTGCGAGGTGATTTATAAAAAGAGAAGAAAAGAAACAACTAAAAAATAAGGATAATGGCGTATGCACTGAGAATAAGATTTTTTTTTTTATATGATATTAAGAATGAGATTATGTGCCTTCTCTAAAAAATAAGATTGTTTATGTTTTATAACCAAAAAAAAAAAAAACATGCGGTTTAAGTTTGTTGAGTGAGCAAAAATATTTTTTCTTTTCAAAATCCTTTAGACCATAAGAGCAAGATTCAATTTCCTATCCAAATAATAACCCATTTTCTTTTAAAAAAGCATTCAATATTGAGTTAAACATTCAATTGTTGTATATAATGGTAAAAAAAATTTATAGTAATACAGAAGTAACCATTAATATTTATTTCTTAAAAAAGTGATAGGTATAAAAACGAAAAAAAAATTAAAAAATATATTTTGATTTAAGTGAAAATATTATTATCATCGAATCTGACATAAGTTTTCTTTTATTTTTGTATTCGTCTTTCTTCTCATTCAGATAAAAAAAAAAAAACATATATTGATAGTTGCTTATGAAGTATTTTAAAAAATTTCATTAGTAAACCAAAAGTTAATTAAAAGCATTTTTCTTCTCAACCAATTATAGGGTTAATGAAGGACGTTAATGGTATTGAAAGCAAAACATAGATGCAATAAAATGCCATTAAAACCAATATATAATTCAATGTGAAATATTTTGAACCGGCAAGAAATGCATAATTATAGGGTTGAGAGGCAAGATTGGGAGTCTTTATGAATCGACTAACTGCACTAGGTCATCAGGACACAGAGCAACACTTCACCAAAATTTGGACGCAAAGAAATCAAGCCAATGCTCTGTCTTTGGAAACTCACTCCAAACTTGCCCATTGTTTGACAGCTGGACAATTTCCTTGTTTAACGTAGCATCAACCTCCATTTCAGTCCAAAATACGATTCTGAACTGAAATTTTTCAAAACAATTAGAATTCAAAAGTTTTATCAGTTATCAAAGTATAATCCTCCATTTCAGGCTTTTTCAGCTGTGCAAGAGCTCAAAAAATAAGTTGACGCAGCAAAGCTTGAACAGTTGCAAGGAAAAAGAGAAAAAGTATACGACAGTTTTATTTATAAACAAAAATGAAATACTTATCAATTTTTTAAATTATCTATGCACATCATTGTATTTATCTTCCCTCTCAAGCAAACAAACAAACACCTATGAGTCACGCCTTTTCATAGAAAAAGGCTCCATAATTCTCAACAAGAAACACCAAAAACCAAGAAAGAGACCCTCTATCTCACATTTTTTAATCCCTATTGTTTATTCTCATTCTTCTTTTCCTTCTTATTTGTCTCTTTTACAAAATCTGTCTTTTTTTTTTTTTTTAACAGAGAAACCAGTATTGATTGATATTGCTATTTGCTAATGCTGAGGGAGTCTAAACCGGACCTGAGAAGCCGGCGAGCGGACAGCAACACCGTGCCAGCAAATACCACCTTTGCACATCTCATGAACATTGACATGATCCCGCGAAATCGCATACGTGGCTTTACGAGAAATATCCCACGTCAGCGTCCCAATCAAGATTAAACCCACTACAATAGTAGACACAATCAGCACGAATCCACCACTGAAACTCTTTCCACAAACCAGCCCATAAACCTTAATTCCAGCTATAACCGCCACGTAGATCGTCGTCAAATTCCCTATCACCGCATCAGACAGCGCCATAACAAAAGTGCTGTACAGTTGCTTCGCTTGTGAATCTAAAGAGGTGAGGAGAGTGTATAGACAAGGCAGAAAGTGAAAGGAAACGGAGGTGGATTTTTGATGTTGGGAATGTCGGTCGAGGGGTGTTAATTTTCGGAGAAGAAATTACGGAAATGGGAGGAGTGAGGAATTTAATGGACTGGTTTATATTGGGCTTATCTTCTAGCTGTTGGAAGGGAAAGGGGAAGGTATCAGATATTTGTCATGCATCCGCCCATTTAAAAGTAGCCAAAGAGATAGTACCACGTGCATTCTTTGCTTTGAGATTAGAAAAACCTTTCACGCGTGGCGAGACTATTTTATTTTAGCATCTTTCCTCTATTAAATGCTTTGATTATTCTTTTGATAACGACGTCGTGGTAGATGTGTGGGTTGCCATGATGGAGACGTTCTGTTTAATTGGCAATGGACCGAGTAAATACGAGCGATGCCAATGCCAAGGAGTTAGGTTGTTATTTAACAAGAGAATACAGATTTTTTTTTTTTTAATTGACTGCAGTATGAATAATTTATTTGATGAGTAACTTATAAATTATTCCTTCTAATTTTGAAAAATAATTTAATCAGTTCTTTATATTTTAAAATTTTAATTATTTAATTTTTATGCTTTTTTCTTTTTAATAAAAAATAAAATATAAATAGATATTATGAGATTGATGAAAAACATTAAAATAAAATAATAGTAAATTAAATATGATGAACACTAGTCAAATAATTAATTTTTAAAACAAATGAAATTAATTAATTCATTTCTTGTAAATAAAAGGACTGTTTATGATTTACTCTTTATTTGATATCTAGTAAAAAAAAATTTGGCTCGAATATTATTAAAAAAAGAAAATAATTGTGAAAAAAAGAGTTGGACGTAAAGTGGATCAACTGTTAAGTGAACTGATTTACAATATACATTCAATTTCTATTAATTTTTATTATGTTTTTTTTTAATTTTAGAAACGATACTCGAGTTATTTTCCAATATTTGAGTTTCAATCCATGTTTCACTCTAACCCACTAGAACTTGTGGACATGGAGCGGACCTAATATTGATTATTAGCTCAATTAATTCAAAGTTATCAATTAGAGAAAAAGGGAAAAAGAAACCACTTAAATGTAGAGTGGCTAACACTCGATCAAATTACCAACGTTTAAATTTCCTTACTTGTCTATATAAGAAAAAAAAAACTACAAAGAAAAATAATACCATAACTATGGGATTCTAGCTCCATAAGAGCAGCATTCTCTCCTTGAAAGGAGGTTGAAGTAAACCCAAATTTTCAATAACCAGAGAAAAAAAAATATGTATATATATATATATATATATATTTTATATATTGTCAAAAAGAACAAGAAAATGGCAAAATCAATGTGTTATAAAACGTTTGTTAAATATAATCTAAATGTATTCATTAGGCTTCGATTGAAATACAAAACAAGAAAAACAAGTCTATTATTTCAGTAAAAAATCAATTATATTAATTTAAGATATTAAAGACGAGTTGTTTTGTATGATATTTTTTAAAAGTTTTAGCAATAAGTTTTTCTGCAAAACAATAAAAATTATGGATTGATTAACATTATTAATCAATTCTTAACAAGTTTTTTAAAGCATTAATTAACCGTAAGGATAGCAATTTTTTAAATTTATTAAATATTTTTTGTCCCACAATGCGCGAGTCAAATTTTTATTTAATTTTATCAAAGTTTAAAATAAATATAAATAAATTTCAATTTGATAGATAAATTTGGATTCAGATATCTCAACACGATATTTTTATCATCATGTTTTATTTTTATTTTTTATCTGTTATAATTGCTTTTGCTTTTGTTTTTTTACGTATTATTTTAAATGAAAAAAAAAAAAAAATCCTTCCGTCTAACCCGATCAAATGTGGAGCAAAAACACCCGCTTCCCACAAACCTTTCCCATATACCCCCAGTTAGCCGGACCGTAAGTAAATTATCATTATTGCATAGCTTAATGCCCGACAATTCTTTCAACGAATTTTTTTTCCTTAAAAAAATTATTTGTTTATGACAATAACAATGGCCCTACATCTTCATTGACTGCGACATGTGTGGTTTTGTGATGCACATTATGGTACGGGCCACGCCGGCATCGATTTTATATGCAAAGAATTTTTGGCCAATGTCTTTCCGATCTCAAAGTTCAATGACCAAATACAATCTCTTGCCGCTGGGTGAAGGTTCTTTCTGGGGGCGTATAACTATCATCTTGAATAATTAGAGAATCGAGGTCCTTGACAGATCTACTCCTCCCTCGAATAGCGGTAAAAGGAACTAAGATTTCATATCCTCTAATCGGGCTTCGCTGTTCAAAGCATTTTATCTAGTTTCACATCTTGTCCTAAAATCCATGAACGCATATGATGTTCGTGCACATGAATCTTGTCTGAATTATTGAATTCAGAAAACTGGCTAAAGGTAACTTGATCTCTACTGCTTATTTTGTTTAAGGAGTCAGACTTTCTACTTTAAATTAAATCATGGCTCAGTTTGGTTTTATTGTATTTGTAATATAAAACAAGTTTTGTTTTGATTCTTAAATATCAAAGTATTTGATAAACATCTCTTTTAGGAAAACAAATTATATTATCTTCAAAATAACATATAAAAGGTCATTAGTAATCGGACATTAGATTTTAATTGCATGTTTTAACCATGGTGGCCTCTAATGAAGTTGGTTTGACTCGATTTCAACTGAAGAGCTTTGTTTCTCTGTTCTGAAAGGTAGAAGCCGTACTTGATTTCTGGGCTCGTGAAGTGTTGAGCCGACTCTTGTCCCCCGTCATTGGTATTTTGGTGTGGTACAGGATGAATGCTTGATTTTACTGTCATTTGTACCTGCAATGACACAATCGCGCGAATCACGCCATCTGTCCCGTTCCGTAACAAAATGTTCGAGTGAAGTGCTGGATCATGGAGTCATGCTCGTGTTTCGTGGTTGAGTCTAGACTTCAAAGCCGACGGAATCATCAATGGTCAAGCCATTCAATCATAGACGAAAATGAAATGACAGGTACTGGCCCCATTCCACACTCCACGTCGAAGACTGGAAATTTAGAATTGGAAGTCCTTGACCAGGACTTGGTTCGAGCAGGAACCTCCAGGATTGAGAAAAGAAAAGGATTGGAAGGTTCTGAGTATTGGTGAAACTTTGGGTGGTTGGTTGGTGATTGAAAAGGGCGTCTCATACTGCCAATCCTATTAAGAAAAATGGATGCTTTATTGAGATTTAAATCACCAAATTCAAAAGTAATAGACATGGTTTTAACGCGCACACACGAATATGTTTATATATTATTCAAAAAATTTCATTTGTTAATTTTTTTATTTTTAAGAATATTTGAAATATTCAACCGTTTTTTCCATTAATTTTTTCGAATATATAATTTTTTTTACTAAAATATTCCTAATTTGAATGCAAATAAATAAATAAAATTTTAAAGGCTTCAAAAATAAAAAATACAAACCATATGACTTTAAATACTTTTTTTTCACATTTTAGTATATGACATTTGGGTAAAAAAATTTATCCTTGATCGAAAAAGTTAATTGAAATGATAAATTTAACGTTTTAAAATGGGATATAATTAAAAATTCATATACAAATGAGGGATTTCGAGTATCATAAAAAAATGATTTATCTTATAAAAAATGACAAAATATGATTATTAATTCTTATTGCTTTTTCTCACTTAATTTTGATATTTGAATTAAAAATTAATAGTAATTTTAAGATTTGGATTCATAAATCTCAACTCAATATTTTTATCATCATGTTTTATTTCTAAAAGGAATTGAGATTTGATATCCTTTCATCGGGCTTCGCAGTTCAAAGCATGTTAGCCGGTTTCACTTGTTGTCCTAAAATCCATGAACGCGTATGATGTTCATGCACATGAATCTTATCCGAATTATTGAATCGAGACCGCAAAACTCGCTAAAGATACCTTGAGCTCTGCCGCTTATTATATTTTAGGAGTCGAACTTTCTACTTTAAATTAAAGCACGACTCGGTTTGGTTTTATTGTATTTGTGATCAAAAACAAGTTTTGTTTCGATTTTTAAAAAATTGAAGTATTTCATAAACATCTCTTTTAGAAAAAAAAATCTTATTATCTTAAAAATAGCATATAAAAGGTGATTAGTAATCGGACATTAGATTTTAATTGCCTTTTTTAACCATAGCGGCCTCTCATAGAGTTGGTTTGACTCAATTTCAATTGAAGATCTTCGTTTCTCTACTTTGCAAAGTAGAGAACCGTAATTGATTTCTACCTTGTCCCGACTCTTGTCCACCGTTATTGGTATTTTAGACCGGTACGGGATGAATGCTTGATTTTATTATCATTTGTACATGCAAAGCCACGGCCTTTCGAATCACATCGTCTATCCTCATTCCACAACGGAATGTTCAAGTGGGAAAGTTGCTTGGATCATAGAGTCATGCTCGTGTTTCGTGGTTGAGTCTAGATTTTAAAGTCGATGGAAACATTAATTGTCAAGCCATAAAATTTGAAGTCATTTTCATCATTTATGAGACAAAAATGAAATGACGAGTGCTGGTCCCGATCCATACTCCACATCACACTAAAACTTACCATGGATCTCCCTCATGTCGGACGAGCTCTCATGCAAGACGTGCCTCCTTTCCTTCTGCTCTATTCTACTCGTTATGCTCCAGTTGGCTTTTGGTTTTATTCTTTTGTTTTTCTTTTGTTTTAGTTGGTTATAAAAAATTAGTTAAACACTAGTCTTTTACTCTTTTGCCCTTACTAATTGTATATATAAAGCACATAAGAGAGAGAATAAATTTGAATTTCGAGTTCCATAAAAAATGTTTCCGTTATGGCATCGAGCTTCAATTTTCTTTCATCTTTCATTTTTTAGTTTCTCGGTAACCAAACAACATTCATTTGTGCATTCTTCCTCTCCTGCACATTTCGTTGCTTCTATTCTTCTTTGACCATTTCATGATCTTCTTTTCTCCACTATGGTCGTTATGCTTGGGTCCGTGCCTCGAGCGAGAGGATCATCCCTCTAATCCATATTACATTCATCCAAGCGAGAATCCATCATCGGTGCTTGTTTCTTCGTCCTCGCGATTTGAATTATCATAGATGGTCTCGAGCCATGCGAATGGCTTTACTTTCTAAAAATAAATAAAAATTCATTGATGGAAGCATCCCTATACCACTAGCCAATGATCTCCTTTATCCTTATTGGGAATGCTATAATATCATGGTTATTTCATTCATTATCTCCCAACATCACACGAGTGTCCTGTGGATTGACACCGCCATTGATTTACGGCTAGATTTCATGGAACGGTTCTCTCATATTGATCATTTTCGCATTGCCAAGCTTCAAGAAAACATTCATTTATTCAATTAAGGCACTCTATTTGTTAGTGCTTACTATACTAAGTTGAAAACTCTTTGGGAAGAGTTCATGAATTTATGTGTTGTATCTACTTGTGATTGCACTCCTAGGTGTTCTTGTACGACTCTTAACGGAGTCAAAGATTTTCGGAAGAATGATTATGCCATACAATTTTTGAGAGGCTTAAGTGATAGCTTTGCCATTGTTCGATCTCAAATTATGTTGATGGACCCTCTATCATCTATTAATCGTGTGTTTGCTCTTGTGGTCCAACATGAAAGACAACTTGGAATTTCTTCTGCTCCTTTTGGATCCAATCACACTTCGACCTTGTTCTACAACAAAAGTATTCTTTATTACGGTCATTTAAAACCTAGTATCTCTACTTCTAGTAATCATTCTTATGGAACATATGTTGCCTCTAATTTTTCATGTTTTGGGCGGAGAAAGCCTATTTGTATTCACTGTGATGGAATGGATCATATGGTGGATCGGTGTTATCGAAACATGGATTTTCGCACAGTTTCGTTGGTTCTAAAAACGAGTAAGCAAGGATCAACGAGTCTCCTTTGGTTTTAAGAATAACTAGCGAGGTTTTACGAGTTGCGGTTACTCGACCTACTTCGCTCACTCGATTCTCATTGTTCTAAAGATAATGCAGCGACTAATATCAACGGATATGGTGCCTCTCGGCAAAATCAATTCACCCTTACTCAAGATCAATACATGAGTTTACTATCACTTTTACCTAATTTACCTAATCCAACTTCTAATGCATCTTCGAATGACATTGATACATCTTCTATTAACACTTTTAATAGTCATTCTTCCATAGCACCACACTTAACATGTATCCATTTTTCTTCTTGTAATTTTACTTATAGTATTGATACCTCTGTTTAGATTTTTGACACTCGGTGCCACAAATTATATAATTTGCTCTTTGTCATGTTCTCTTCTTATCATCGGATCACATACGTATTTGTCAAGCTGTCAAATAATCAACATGTTCAAATCACTCATAAAGGCATTGTCATTTGGTCAAAATTACTTATTTTAACGAGATGTTTTGTTTGTTCCAATATTTTCCTTTAATCGATTTCCACAAGCAAATTAACGAAATCACTAAATTGTTGTTTGATCTTCTCTCCCTTTTCTTACGTTATTCGGGACTCGCATTCCAAGAAAATGATTGATTTAGTTGAGGAGAGACATGGCTTGTACATGATGAAACACCCTTCTTCCTCTCGTCGATTCTCGTTACCACACCTCGAATTTATTCAATCTTTTCTCATAATTCGATGCTTTATGGTATTACGGATTAGGTCACTTATCTAATTCTAGATTGAAAATTTTACATGCTTCCCATTCGGAGATTCCTTATACTCGTGACTGCGAAACATTGTGAAATCTGCCACTATGCTAAACAAAAAGATTGCCTTTTCTAGACGACCGATCCTTTACTTCCCTTTGTTTTCAATTAGTTCATATGGATGTTTGAGGTCCAATGTCCATCATTTTGATTTATGGCCACTTTTATTTTCTTACTACCGTGAATGATTTTAGTAAAGCCATTTGGATTTATTTGATGAAGCAAAAATGCGAAACTAGAACTTTCATAAATGAGTTATGTGCACTTGTGAAAACTCGGTTTAACACCAAAATTCAAACCATTAAGACTCGACAATGGACAAGAGTTCAACATGCCTTCATTCTTTTCTTCTAAAGGCATCATTCATCAAACCTCTTGCACCAACACACCTCAACAAAATAGTACGGTAGAAAAAAAATATCAACATATTCTTAATGTAGCTAGAGCATTAAGATTTCAAGCTTATTTACCACTTCATTTTTGGGTAGATTGCATTTTACATGCTTGTTCATCTCATCAACAAAACTCCCTCACCCCTCATTGACAACAAAATTCCCTTTGAACTCCTTTTTCATAAACCACCATCTTATACCAATCTAAAGGTTTTTGGTTGCTTGTCTTACTCTGCTGTTACTAGCCATAAATCTAAGTTTGCATCTAGAGTTACTCAATGCATTTTTCTCGATCACAAGTCTAGGACTAAAGAATATCGGTTGTATGATTTGAAAACCAAACAATCTTTTATTTCCGGGGATGTTTTCTTCTATGAAGATATATTTCCTTTTGCTCCAAATTCTACCTTTCCTTTTGCCGGTTCTTCATCTCCACATGTCTTACCCATCTGTTAACCTTCCGGTTCATCATTCTTCTAGTATAGATGATGACCACTTTTCTTATAATACCTGCCCATGTCACACATATTAGTTCTTCATCACCTCCTCCTACCGATTCCCGTTCTCCTTCACTTCGTCGAACCACCGGACGCGTCTTTCCTCCTTGTTACCTTTCGCGATTATCACTTGCTCTTTTACTTCCAGCTTGTCTCTCGAAGGCTCTGCTATATCATCTTCACATAATGCTCCTCCTATTTTGATGCCGAGTACACCACATTCCTTTTCTTCGTTTTATCTTATGATAATTTTTTTCCTTCCATAAATATTTTTTCGTCAACATCACTACCAACATTGAACCTCAAAATTATATTGAAGTCATTAAGCATTCATGTTGGAGAGATGTCATATCTGCTAAAATTAAGGCTTTGCGGGACATTCGAATTGGGAATTAGTTCCTTGACCTCCTCACAAACATCCTATTGGTTATAAATGAGTCTTCAAGATTAAACATCGGACATATGGCTCCATGGAGAGGTATAAAGCATGGCTTGTTGCCAAAGGCTACACACGACAGAAGGGGTAGATTACATGGATACTTTCTCTC